GCACGTGCCTGTACTCCCTGAGCCCGGGGAGGTTGAGGCTGCAGTGAGCCATGTTTTGAGACCCTGTCTCAAAAAAAAAAATGGGAAAAAAATTCCATGACGAACAAAATGTTGAAATTTTACATAAGGCAGGATCAGCACTGCTGCTTTTTTTTCCCCCTTTGCCCCAGGCTCTAGCATGGCTCTGAAAAGCACTGAGTGTGGCAGCCATGCTCCTTCCTCCTACTGCCCAGAGGCAGAGTTGAGTAGTCTCAACAGAGACCTGCAAAGCCGAAGATGTGTATTTTCTGACCCTTCCAGAAAGTTTTCCAGTGGCTAACGCCTGTAATTGCAACACTTTGGGAGGCCAAAGTGGGTGGATCCCATGAGCCCAGGAGTTCAAGACCAGTCTGGGCAACATGGCAAAACCTTATCTCTACAAAAAATATAAAAACTAGCTGAGAGTGTTGGTGCATGCCTGTGGTCCCAGCTACATGGGAGGCTGTGGTGGGAGGATGGCTTGAGCCCAGGAGTTAGAGGATGCAGTGAGCTGTGATCACACCGCTGCACTCCAGCCTGGGTGACAGAGAAAGGCTCTGTCTCAAAGGAAAAAAGAAAACTTTCCAACCCCTGATAGACATCAATTCAGTTGAGAAGGGCTCTCCTCTTACTCTATTAATCCCCAGCAATGACTATAACCAAACTAGATTCAACATCTGGTCCATTTCTTCTGTCTACCTTTTTTTTTCTTTCTTTCTTTCTTTTTTTTTTTTTTTTTTTTTTTTTTGAGACAGTCTTACTCTGTTGCCCAGGCTGGAGTGCAATGGAACAATCTCAGTTCACTGCATCCTCTGCCTCCTGGGTTCAAATGATTCTCCTACCTCAACCTCCCTAGTCACTGGGATTACAGGTGTGCACCACCACGCCCAGATAATTTTTGTATTTTTAGTAGAGACGGGGTTTTACCATGTTGGCCAGGCTGGTCTCGAACTCCTGACTTCAGGTGATCCACCCTCCTCGACCTCCCAAAGTGCTGGGATTACAGACATGAGCCACCACATCTGGCCCTCCATCTACCTTTTTATGTACCTATTTAAAAAAGTGAGTGTACGCTCATAAATTATTTAATTTTTGGATAATAGTACATGTAAGCCAATAGCAATTAACACTGAATTAATAAGCATGCTAATGTTTGTGTGCTGTAATGATTTACTGAGAGTATAATTACCCGCATTAAAAATGTATAGAAGCCATCATTTACTTTCATGTTAACTAAATGCTTAATTAGTTAACCCTTCATGCTATGGGCTTAGTGTTACTTGGTTTGTTTATAAAATGATATGATTCCTTCCCAGGTTCCACAGACAGGTCTTGGAAGCATAATTAATTATTATTATTATTTGTTTAAAATAGAGACAGGGTCTCGCTTTTTGGCCTGTTTGACCTCAATCAGTCCTCCCACCTCGGCCTCCCAAAGTGCTAGGATTACAGGTGTGAGCCACCATACCCGGCCAGGAAGCAGAATTATGATGAACTTTTAAAAAGTAGTAAATGCTTTTGTCCTAGTTTTCCTGCATTCACTCTTTCTTTCTATAATCTAAGAAGAATGCTCTTTTAAAAGATGTAAGTCAGATTATATTGTGCCTATGGGTTGAGCCACCTGGGGCTTCCCTCAGCAATTGGAATTTTTTTTTTTTTGAGATGGAGTCTCGCTCTGTTGCCCAGGCTGGCGTGCAATGGCATGATCTTGACTTACTGCAACCTCCACCTCCCAGGTTCAAGTGATTCTCCTGCCTCAGCCTCCCAAGTAACTGGGACTACAGGTGTGTGCCACCACACCCAGCTAATTTTTGTATTTTTAGTAGAGATGGGGTTTCACCAGGTTGGCCAGGCTGGTCTCAAACTCCTGACTTCATGATCCACCCACCTCAGCCTCCCAAAGTGCTGGGATTACAGGTGTGAGCCATTGAGCCCGGCCGGCAATTGGAATTTTAAAACTCTAGACATCTGACCTTGTTCAGGGCCTCTGCTGCTGCAGGACAATTGCACAGCTATTCCTGTTCTCCAGGCTGCTCCCTCCCACATCCTCCTAAGGCTGGCCCTTTCTCTGCAGCTGTCAAGTCCCAGCTCAGTGCCATCCTTGGTGCCACCCCTAACTGGCTATCAAGAGGGGAGCCCTCTCCACCACCACCCCCGGCTCTGTCCCTCTGCAATCCCCTTGCACCACAGCCTGGATCTCTACTGAACAAACTTGTGTATCTGCAACCTTGTGTATTCTTGCCTGACAAGGATACCAGCACCCTGAGAGCAGCACTTTCATCTGACCTGTTCACCTTAGAATCCTCAGGCTGGGTGTGGTGGCTCACATTTTAATCCCAGCATTTTGGGAGGCCAAAGTGGGAGGATTGCTTGAAACTGAAAGTTCGAAACCAGCCTGGGCAACAAAGCAAGACCTCACCTTCTCTCTCTCTCCCTCTCTCTCTTTCTCTCTCTCTGTCTCTCTCTCTCTCTCTCTCACACACACACACACACACACACACTAGCCAGGCATGTGCCTGTGGTCCCAGCTACTCAGGAGGCTGAGGCGGGAGGATTGCTTTAGCCCTGGAGTTAGAGGCTGCAGTGAGTTGTGATCATACCACTGCACTCTCCAGCCTGGGCAAACAGAGCAAGACCCATCCCTAAAAAAACAGAATTCTCAGAGCCTAGAATGGGGTCAGGCACTCAGTAGATGCACCTTTTTTCTTTTTTTATTATTTATTTGTATTTTAAATCTACACACAGTTGTGTTTGCCTTTTTGGGTTTGCTGTTCTATGGTTTTTCACACTTGCATAGATTCCTTTTTTTTTTTTTTAGATAGGATCTTGCTTTGTCGCCAGGCTGGAGTGCAACGGCGCGATCTCAGCTCACAGTTCCCTAGTTCAAGCGATTTTTCTGTCTCAGCCTCCCAAGTAGCTGGGATTACAGGCACGTGCCACCATGCCCAGCTAATTTTTGTATTTTTAGCAGAGATGGGGTTTCACCATGTTGGCCAGGATGGTCTTGATCTCCTGACCTCGTGATCCACCCGCCTCAGCCTCCCAAAGTGCAGGGATTACAGGCATGAGCCACCACTCCCGGCCCGTTTGCATAGATTCTTATAACCTCCACCTCAAACAGAATGGAGAGCAAGTCCAACCTCTCTCTGTAGTCAGACCCTGGCCCCACCCTTAGCCTCTGGCCACCATCTGCTGTCCCTTTCTATAGCTCTGCCTTTTCCAGAATGTCATATAAATGGAAACATACATTGTGTAGCTTTGAGACTGGCTGCTTTCACTTGGCATAAATGCCTCTGGGATTCATCGCTGTCATTGTGTGTGTCAGTCGTTTGTTCCTTTTATTGCTGGAGCACAGTCCATGTGTGATCCTATCACAGTTTGTTTGGTACATTTTCTCTTCATGATGGATGTTGAATTAACATGAAAGCCTCTGGTTGTAAGAGCGACGGCATACTCTAGACCAAGTCCACTAAATCGTAGTAATATTCCCTGCACAAACAGCCATTCTGTTTGGTAATTTACAGGGTACAGTTTGGTAATTTACAGGAACCGGCATGTCTTAGAATGTTTACCAACAATTTACAACTTTTAAAATGATATGCAAGTAATGGCCGGGCGCAGTGGCTCATGCCTATAATCCCAGCACTTTGGGAGGCCGAGGCAGGTGGCTCACTTGAGGTCAGGAGTTCGAGACCAGCCTGGCCAATATGGTGAAACCCCCTCTCTACTAAAAATACAAAAATTAGCTGGGCGTGGTGGCGTGTACCTGTAATCCCAGCTACTTGGAAGGCTGAGGCACTAGAATAGCTTGAACCCAGGAGGTGGAGGTTGCAGTGAGCTGAGATTGTGCCACTGCTCCCCAGCCTGGGAGACAGAGCAAGATTCCATCTCAAAAAATAAAAATAAAAATAAAATGATATGCAAGTAATACAAGTAACATTCTGCTGGGAAGGGCCACCATCTATGGCAGGAGATTCAGAAATAAAGTTTCTCTTTTCATCTTTCCGTCTGTCCCACCTCCCATGAGGGGAGCACTGTTAATCAAATAACTTGTGTCCTTCTGGATCTTTTTAAGGTCTCTTTACCTATTTTATAGTATATATAGCTGGGTTTTTTTCAACATAAATTTATTCTGCAAATATTTGAGAGCCTGCTGTGTGCCAGGCACTGCAGATGTTGGCTTGCTTTCTTGGAGAAGGTACCTCTTCTTTTTAATGGCAGCATAGTTTTAGAGCTAGGATGTACCCTAAGGTACTTAATGATTTTCCTATTGATGAGCATTTGTTTCTAATTTTTTATGACTTCAACTAATGCCATTGGGGACAGGTTGTCAATATACCTTTTCTTTATTGTTTTTCTTTTTCTTTTTCTTTTTTTTTTTTTTTTTTAACAGCTGTGCTGAGATCTATTTTGCGTACCATAAAGTTCACCCATTTGAAGTGTATGGTTCAGTGGGTCTTAGTATACTGTGTTCACAGAACATTTTCATCACTCCAAAAAGAAGAAGGAACCCTGAATCTGCCATGAACAGTCACTTGCCATTCCTCCCCTCCGCTCTTGGCAACTGTGAATCCACTTTCTGCGTCTGTGGATTTGCCTGTTTTGAACATTTCATATAAACAGAATCACACACGATGTGACCTTTTGTGATGGGCTTCTTCCCCATAACATAATGTTTTCAGGGTCCGTTGTCCATCCATTTACAGCATGTGCCAGTGCCTCGTTCCCTTTTTTTTGTTTGTTTTTTTGAGACGGAATTTTGCTCTTTTTGCCCAGGCTGGAGTGCAATGGCATGATCTTGGCTCACTGCAACCTCCGCCTCCCGGGTTCAAACAATTCTCCTACCTCAGTCTCCCAAGTAGCTGGGATTACAGGCATGCACCACCACGCCTAGCTAATTTTGTATTTTTAGTAGAGATAGGGTTTCTCCATGTTGGTCAGGCTGGTCTCAAACTCCTGACCCCAGGTGATCTGCCCACCTCAGCCTCCCAAAGTGCTGGGATTACAGGTGTGAGCCACCGTACCTGGCTGCCTTCGTTTATCCATCCATCAGTTGGCAAACATTTGGGCTGTTGCTACTTTGGGGCTATTAGGACAATGCTGCCGTGAACATCGGTATCCAAGCATTTGTGTGGCCATGCACCATTTAGCACATGTGTATTTCTGCAGGATGAATTTTGAGGAGGCGAAAAAGACACCACTTATAGCTAGCTTTTTGTCTCTGACTATGTAGGTTTGAACATCTCCTAAGTCTTGAGAAATGCTTGGAGGCCATTTCCTGCAGAGGCACACCCCTTCTTGGGCGGGCTGGGGGAGGCAGTGGCAGAGCCCAGCCCACCTGCCCGAGCCACCAGTGCTCCAGGGTTTTGCATTCAGCCCCTGGCAAACACTCATGGCTAACCCTACAGGTGCCCTTGCCTGTCTTTGACCCAGCACTGGCGAAGGAATTGGCAAAGCCACCAGGTTAATGATGCAAACCCCAGAAATGTGCGGCATAGATGAGAAAGCAAACAGCCTCTCCTTTTGGAGAACTAAAAGAATTTAAAGAAGCTCGCTGGCTCATTCCCTCTCACCGGGAAGGATGTCACTAAACACAGTCCGCATCAATCACTATTTTTGTTAAGCGATTTATGAGTTGCTCAGCTGAGAATAAGGTTGTGCGTGGTAGGAGGAGTTCTGTGTGCACCGAGGCCTCATGGAAGGACCGGATTTCTAGGGAGGAAAAGGGAAAAGAGAGTTGATGTTAAAATATCATTTCTATAACAGTAATGCAGCAATGTTCGTCTAGAAGGACAGCTGCCACATTTGGCAAGATGCTGGGAGAGAAACAAGTATTAAGTACTTGGTTAAAATGACGAACCCCACAAATATGCCCTGGAATGAATATAGCTCCATAGCAGGAGGCACTCCCTAAAGGGTTTAGCAACATCACAAATAGCAAAGAGCATAACTGCTTTTAGAGTTTCAGATATTTAAATCTGCAAAAAATCAGTAGATGTCAGTTACGTTATAACAGCGTGAATTACAACAATGACGCTAATGAATATTTGTGGGCATTTTCCGTGTGCTGGGCTGGCCATTAAACTCCACACTTTGTAGGACTCATCTCATTTAGCACAACCACCCAACACAGATAGAAGTGTTTTCTCCATTTATAGACAAAGAAATGGAAGTGCGAAAAGATTTAAGTCCCTGACTGAGGTCACCCAGCTAGAAACTGGAGGACCCAGGATCTGGACCTAGACACCCCCGCTAGCCGCCTGTCTTAGAGCCAGGATGCACTGTAAGGTAGCTAATGGTTTTCCTATTGATGACTATTTGTGTATTATTTATTTATTTATTTTGAGACAGAGTTTCGCTCTGTCACCCAGGCTAGAGTATAGTGGCGCAGTCTTGGCTCACTGCAACCTCCGCCTCCCGGGTTCAGGTGATTCTTCTGCCTCAGCCTCCCGAGTAGTTGGGATTACAGGCACACACCACCACACACAGCTAATTTTTGTATATTTTTTAGTTGAGACGGGGTTTCGCCATGTTGGCCAGGCTGCTCTCAAACTGCCGACCTCAAGTGATCTGCCCGCCTTAGCCTCCCAAAATGTGCTGGGATTACAGGTATGAGCCACCGCCCTCCACCTCGTTTCTAATTTTTTATGAACACCGAGCTCCGAAAGCCAAGCAAAGGGGTGACGCTGTGTATTTCAGAACTCAGTATTCCCTCTGCTTTCTTCCTCTCCTCAGTCCCCAATGCCAGATCCTCCAACTGTTCATGACCTTTGAACTTGAGAAGGACCTCTTTTCTGCTTTATCTACGGCTGCTTTCCTGGTGATCTCACCAAGGTACAAGAGTTGAAATGCATCTTAGAACCTCCAGTGTCCTAATGTCTGTAGCCTGGCTCACTCCCCTGAATCCCGGACTTGTGTACCTAGCTGCCTAGGTGGCAGCTGCATGTGGGTGTCATCTGATGGGCATCTGAGGCTTCTGTCACCCAAAACTGGGTGCCTGATTTGACCTCACGCTTGTCTCTCTCCAGCCTCAGCACGGGGCAGCTCCATTCTCTAGGTGCTCAGGCCAACCACAAGCCTTAAGTCAACCTTGACTCCTCTCTTTCTTTCACCCTCTATGTCAAACCCGTCAGCAGACGTGGCTGGCTCTGTCTTCAGGTGTCTCCCAAATGAGACCATACCTATCACCTAAGTCTTTGTCACCTCTGGCCTGGTTGTCCAGCCCTGACCTTTGCTTCCATTGACCATTGATGCTTCCAAAATATCTGTCAGACCCTGTCCCTGTGCCCTAAACCTTCCAGTAGCTTCCCAGCACACTCAGAGCGAAAGCCAAAGACCCCACTGTGGCCTACTTGTGTCTCTTAAGGCCTCCTCCTCCTCCTCCTTCTCTTCCTCCTTCTCCTCCTCCTCCTCCTCCTCCTCCTGTCTTAGTCTGTTCAGGCTGTTTCAGCAAAAGGCCATAGACTGGGTGGCTGTAAACAATAGACACGTATCTCTCAGCCCTGGAGGTGGGAAGTCTGAGAAGAGGGTGCCAGCAGGGTCGGGTTCTGGTGAGGGCTCCCCTCTGGGATGCAGATGGCCATCTTCTTGCTGTGTCCTCACATGGTGGGAAGCCAGAGAGAGCTCTCTGGGGTCCCTTCCATAAGGGAGGGCATGATCTCACCCTCACGACCTAATCACCTCCCAAAGGCCCCACCTCCTAAAGCCACTGCCTTGGGGTGAGGAGTTCAGCATAGGGATTTAAGGGGATACAACATTTAGCCCCCAGCATTCCCCCGGCTCCTCTGGTCACCTTCTCACGTGACCCGTGTGACCCCACGTATCCCATGTGCCTCGGCCTTGCCGAGCACCCCTCCTGGCAGAGCCTTCTCAGCAGCAACACTTTCCTCGCCTCACTCTGCCTCTCTCCTGCCACTGCCCCAGGTCACCTCGCTGCCCCTGGCCCACGCCGCACTCCACTTGTGCATTTGAGTGTATTTTTCTTCAGAGCATTTGTCACCTCCTGCTGTTCTGTGTCCATGGTGTCGTCTGTCTCTCCCGGAGGAGTCAGCCCCACGCGGTCAGGGACTCGATCTGTTTATTCCCTGCTGTGTTCTCAGCACTTGGAGCCGGCACATGGTAGATGCTCAGACTGTGTTTGTTCAATGAATGAATGATGGCTGAGTGCCCAGGCTCTGAGCAAGTGTGGTACAGGCACCCTTCAAACCCCAGCCCCTGCACCCAGGGAACCTTGTGGGGTGAGGAGATGCACGGGCACAGGCCGGATGCTAAGAGGAAGGTAGAAAGGTTCCAGCTCACCTTCTCTTCTCGTTGACTTGAGGTTAGGAAGGGGCTAGTTTGGAATGAGAGGAAGAGCTTTCTCCACACTGTGGCATCTGTCCCCTGCCTGAGGTTCCACCTGAACTCCTGCCACAAGCTCCAGATCTGCTCCTATGCCGCACCCCCACCCCTGCTACGAAACCCCAGCTCTCTGTTTGCCCACCTGGTCTGCCGCTTTGGGCAGAGCTGCCCTTCATTTACTCTCCATCTTCCTGAGGGCTGGCCTTGGCTGGTGTCGGTCATTAGTGATGGGGCCCAGAACCTCAGCGGGGACAGAACGAGTTCCTGCTGCCCAGGGCCGGCCTGTCTGGGGGCTGCTGAGAAGTCACCCTGTGGTCGTCCACAGTCATTCCTGTGTGAGGACGAGACACACACTTTCCACTTGCTGGAGAGGAGGGTCTGAACAGCTTTTTATTGGTGCATTCACCATCTCAGATACTTCTGATCAGTATGAGCCGGGTAAACAGCCAGTTCAGATGGCTCAGACTCCTGGAAGAGGAGCGTTTAGCCCAAATTACTGGTATTAGCCATCCGCATTCAAGCTCATCTTAACCAAGAAATTTGTATGGTAAAAAAGAATTCGACTAACACAGAAATGCAACTGTGTCTTCATCGTTCCACTCTGTAAGCTTCAGAGGGCTTTCATGCGTTCAGCCTTCCTTCTTTTGATCTTTGAATTGTTTTGAAATTCCATTTGGATGGAAATATTTCCAATATTTATCTTTTTTGTTTTTATGTATATTTTTTGCAGTTTTTATGGTTTTATTTAAACATAAAACATGCACATGAGCTATCTACTCATTTTCTTCACTGTGCAGCCTGGCATTGGGGTGAGTGACTCTGATGGCCAGCTGGGCTGCCCTTTCCATGATGGCTTTGCGCTCCTTGGAGGAAGCACTGTGAGCGATCTCAGCACAGGAGGAAGCACTGTGAGTGATCTCAGCACAGGGAGGCTTGTTGCACATCAGCAGCACTTCCAGCTGCTTGATGCTGGGGACCAGGAACTTCTGGAAGCCACAGGGCAGCATGTGCTTTGTTTTTTTGTTGCTCCCATAACCAGTGTTGGGCATCAAGATCTGGCCCTTGCAGGCGCAGTGGCTCATGCCTGTAATTCCAGCACTTTGGGAGGCTGAGGCGGGTGGATCCTCTGAAGTCAGGAGTTTGAGATCAACCTAGCCAACATGGTGAAACCCTGTCTCTAATAAAAATACAGAAACTAGCCAGGCATGGTGGTGGGTGCCTGTAATCCCAGCTACTCTGGAGGCTGAGGCAGGAGAATTGCTTCAACCCGGAAGGCGGAGGTTGCAGTGAGCTGAGATCGCACCACTGCACTGCAGCCTGCACAACAGAGTGAGACTCTATCTCGAGGAAAAAAAAAAAATCTGGCTCTTGAACCTTCTGTGAACCCTGTTGTCAGTTCCTCTGGGTTTCCTCCAGTTACACTTAATTTTGACATATTGTTCTGACTGGTGCCGGATGAACAGCTTGGTCCTCTTTTTGATGACCTTGGGCTTCATGAGGAGTCTGAAGGCGGCCATGATGCTGAGGAGGAGATGGCTGCCACCTCCATAGGCAGCACCAAAGAGAGAGGGGCCTTTTTTTCTTTTTTATGTCCTCGGAAGGAAGACTTCGTGTTTCTTTTTTAAGAGCCAGGATCTCTCTCTGTCGCCCAGGCTGGAGTGCAGTGATGCAATCATTGCTCACTGTATCCTTCACCTCCTGGGCTCAAGCAATCCTCCTGCCTCAGCCTCCTGAGTAGCTGGAACTGCAGGCACACCCACCTTACCCAGATAATTTTTAATTTTGTTTTTCTAGAGACAAGGTCTCGCTTTGTTACCCAGACTGGTCTCAAACTCCTGATCTCAAGCAATTCACCCACCTCAGTCTCTCAGAGCGCTGGGATTACAGACATGAGCCACTGCACCTGGCCCAAATATTTATCTTTTAAAATGTATGCAGAAGTGAAACATGCTTTCCAAGAGCAGCAATGGGCAGGGTCACCCAGCGCCCAGGTGGATACGTGGGCTGCCAAGGCTTCTAGAAGCCAGGACAAATGGAAAGAATATTGGAACATGGAAAGGTCTGAAAGGTGGCAATTTGTCCAAGTCTCCATTTGAATCAGAAGAGAAGCGGTGGGTCAGGAAGGGGGTGATTTGAGTTCTGTTTCATCAGACTCATCTCTGTTTCTCTTTCCATCTCTCGGGCAGAGTTAGAACATTTTATTCCATTTTTTTTCCAAAATTATCTTTTGCTCTGCTTTGGGAACTGACTTAATACGGAGCTGGGAATGGAGACACCAAAAACAGAACTAGGCAAAGCTGAGGGTTTGTTCTTGCCCCTCCTGGACAGTGTGAGTTGCTCGCTGCTTTTGGCCCTGTCTGAAGTCGTCCCCAGCCCCACACTGGGAGAAAATGTTTCCTGAGGAAAACAACCCCTCTCAAAACCTGATGGAACAGAAAAGCCGCTTCAAATAGTTTACAGGTTTTAAGGTGCCTTTTTACATGTTAAAAATAACATTTCCCCTCAAGCTTTTGAATTAAATTGCCTCCTCTAAAACAGAATTGATTTTAGTGTATCTTCTTAGAATTAATTGGGACTAATTAGTTTTAAAACCTGAAATACCTCCAGCATTTCCCTCTTTGGGTTTAATTCTAACAATGAGTTTAACAACAAGACCCGTTTGCTCCATCTTCTCAGCGCGCACTGAGGTTTTGCTTTGGGGTTGAAACTTTCATGACGACAGAAATAGAATGTCCTTTTGTCGTTCTCATTGGGTTGGTCGGTGACGTTTGAGACAAGCAAAGAGATGACAGATGGAACAAATATTTCTAATTTTGTCTTTCTTTGCTTCATTTTCAAGTCTTCAGAGACCTCTGGGTCTTGCTGAGGGGATCTCTGACTTGGCTTCATTTTCTGTCCCAGGCCGATTGAGATGTGTCTGTGCCTCAAAGACAGACTTAAAAGTACCGACAGGTTCTTTCCCTCCCAAAGACAGGCGAGACCTCCTCCCATCAGGTTGAGTCCATTCCTTGTCTGGAGCCAGGGAGCTCTGCTTCCCAAACTCTCACAGCAAGATTACTGGCCTTGCTCATTTGTCTTGCATTAAATTTTCTTGCAATCTTGCTTAATTCGAGCATGACTTAGCAAGAAATGCATTTTTAATATGTGACTCTAACACTTTCTTATTTAAGGATGCATGTTTATACACTGACATAGCAAGAAAAATAGGTATATTAAAACGCATTTCTAATAATACTGAAGTGTGGAAGGATTAGCCATTTGGCAAATTTGAAAAGAGGTATGGAGTAGCCATAAGGAAAATAGTGAGGGCCAGGCACGGGGGCTCACACCTGTAGTCCAGCACTTTGGGAGGCTGAGGTGGGAAGACTGCTTGAGGCCAAGAGTTCAGGACCAGCCTGGTCAACATAGTGGGACCTTGCCTGTACAATTTTTGTTGTTGTTGTTTTAAGTAGCCAAGCGTGGTGGTGGGCACCTGTAGTCCTAGCTACATGGGAGGTTAAGGCAGGAGGATCACTGGGCTGAGGGCCCAGGAGTTTGAGGCTGCAGTGAGCTATGATCCAACCACTATACTCCAGCCTGGGTGACAGAGAAAGACCCTGTCTCTAGAAAAGAAAGAAAGCAGTGAAAAAGGCAAATCAGGTGCATAAACCTGATGAGTGGGGCTTCTGTCAGGCGTTGAGGTGGGACCATGGGCTGGGGGCAGGTATTGGTTCCATGGAGACCAGATGAGCCTGTGAACCCAGGGTCTGCTGAAGGCTCTGATGTGAGGTCTGTGGACCTAAGTCATCATACTTGAAGCCCTATCCTGTGGCTTCAAGCCCTTCCACCTTGCTGAGACTGGCGGTCCCTGGCAGCCAGCTATTGAGGCTGACCAGGAGTAAACACAGGGATTCCATGGGTGAAGAATGGGATTGGGGACCAGGTCCCCCCAGAAGGACTATGACTTGGTGTCCATCTTCCAGGGTGGACACTCTGTCTTCTCTCCTGTACTGGTGGATGCACATCCACGCACCTAGCCCTGGCCAAGCCCTCCTGTGTTCTGCAGGACATCCCATTCCATCCCATCCACATCCCATCCCACCCCATCTATATCCCATCCCATCCACATCCCATATCACCCCATCTACATCCCATCCCACCCCATCCACATCTCATTCCATCCCATCCACATCCCATAGCTATTGAGGCTGACCAGAGTAAACACAGGGACTTTAGCGGGTGAAGAATGGGATTGGGGACCAGGTCCCCCAGAAGGATCTGCGCACTGGTGTCCATCTTCCAGGTGGACACCTGTCTTCTCTCCTGTACTGGTGGATGCACATCCACGCACCTAGCCCTGGCCAAGCCCTCCTGTGTTCTGCAGGACATCCCATTCCATCCCATCCACATCCCATCCCACCCCATCTATATCCCATCCCATCCACATCCCATATCACCCCATCTACATCCCATCCCACCCTCTATCCACATCTCATTCCATCCCATCCACATCCCATTCCATCCCATCTGCATCCCATCCCCATCCCATCCCATCCCACCCCATCCACATCCCATTCCATCCATATCTCATTCCACCCCATCCACATACCATTCCATGCCATCCACATCCCATTCCATCCCATCTGCATCCCATCCCATCCACATCCCATTCCATCCCATCTATCCCATCCCACCCCATCCACATCCATCCCATCCACATGTCATTCCACCCCATCCACATACCATTCCATGCCATCCACATCCCATTCCATCCCATCCACATCCTATCCCACCCCATCCACATCTCATCCCACCGCATCCACATCCCATCCCATCTACATCCCATTCCATCCCATCCCACCCCATCCACATCCCATCCCACCCCATCCACATCCTATGCCATCTACATCTCATTCCACCCCATCCACATCCCATCCCACCCCATCTACATCCCATCCCATCCACATCCCATTCCATCCCATCTACATCCCATCCCACCCCATCCACATCTCATTCCATCTCCATCCACATCCCATTCCATCCCATCTGCATCCCATCCCATCCACATCCCATTCCATCCCATCTACATCCCATCCCACCCCATCCACATCCCATCCCATCCACATCCCATTCCATCCCAACTGCATCCCATCCCATCCACATCCCATTCCATCCCATCTACATCCCATCCCACCCCATCCACATCCCATCCCATCCACATCTCATTCCACCCCATCCACATACCATTCCATGCCATCCACATCCCATTCCATCCCATCTGCATCCCATCCCATCCACATCCCATTCCATCCCATCTACATCCCATCCCACCCCATCCACATCCCATTCCATCCAACATGTCATTCCACCCCATCCACATCCCATCCCACCCCATCCACATCCCATCCCACCCCAGTATCCACATCTCATTCCACCCCACCTACATCCCATCCCACCCCATCCACATCCCCTCCCATCCACATCTCATCCCACCCCATCCACATCCCATCCCACCCCATCCACATCCCATCCCATCTACATCCCATCCCACCCCATCCGCATCCTATCCCATCCCATCCACATCCCATTCCATCCACATCCCATTCCATCCACATCTCATTCCATACCATCCACATCCCATCTCATCCACATCCCATCCCACCCCATCTACATCCCATCCCCACCTCATCCACATCCTATCCCATCCCATCCATATCCCATCCCATCCACATCCCATTCCATCCACATCCCATTCCATCCACATCTCATTCCATACCATCCACATCCCATCCCACCCCATCCACATCCCATCCAACCCCATCCACATCCCATCCCACCTCATCTACATCCCATGCCACCCCATCCACATCCCATCCCACCGCATCTCATTCCACCCCCATCCACATACCATTCCATGCCATCCACATCCCATCCCATCCACATCCTATCCCACCCCATCCACATCCCATGCCATCCACATCTCATCCCACCCCATCCACATCCCATCCCACCCCCATCCACATCCCATCCCATCTACATCCCATTCCATCCCCATCCCATCCCATCCACATCCCATCCCATCCCCATCCACATCCCATGCCATCTACATCTCATTCCACCCCATCCACATCCCATCCCACCCCATCCATATCCCATTCCCTCCCATCCACATCCCATCTCATCCACATCCCATCCCACCCCCATCCACATCCCATCCATCCATCCACATTCCATCCCCCCGCATCCACATCCCATCCCATCCCCATCCCATCCCATCCCATCCACATCCCATCCCCCCCCATCCACATCCCATCCACATCTCATCCCACCCCATCCACATCCCATCCCACCCCATCCATCCCATCCCGTCCCATCCACATCTCCATTCCATCCCATCCACATCCCATCCCATCCACATCCCAATCCCACCCCATCCACATCCCATTCCATCCCATCCACATCCTGTCCCACCTATCCACATCCCATTCCATCCCCATCCACATCCTGTCCCACCCCATCCACATCCCATTCCATCCCATCTACATCCCATCCCATCCCGTCCATATCCCATCCCATTCTATTCACATCCCATCCCACCCCATCCACATCCCATTCCACCCCATCCACATCCCATTCCATCCCATCCATGCAAGAACACCCAC